ATTATTCTTCAGTGTGCTTTTTACTTTTACTCATTACATTTTTACACAATTATCTGTAATTTCTACTTCTTGCATTTTTTTTAAAAAAGGTAAGAAATAGAAAGTTGTTTCTCCTTTTTCAGTTTGGCTTTTTATTGTTAAAAATTCTATCCTGAAAAATTGTGACTCCTGGATTGAGTGAATGTAATTGTGGTTGGTGTAAATAGTATACCATTCTAATACTGTAGCAAGTTTGTACAGACTCCACCAAAGCTGCACACCTTTAGAAAAAAATATTTTTTGAAGAGGTCACCTCCCAATAAATGTATTTTGGAAAATCTAACCATTAATTTTCACTCAGTAATTTTACTTTTAATAGTTAAGTACATTTTATGTCAGAAATTTACTTTTCATACTTACAGTAAGTACAAAATAAATCAGATACTTTAAGATTTTTACTCAAGTAATATTTTTAGAGGAGACTTTAACTTTTACCAAAGTAATTTTATGATAAGATACTTGTACTTTTACTCAAGTCTCACTTTCAGGTACTTTATACAACACTGGTTCGTTTTAAATGTTAAAAAATATATATTTAAATATGAAATCCTACATCTAAATGTTTTAATCTAAATGTAAAAGTTAAACATTAAATGTTGAAGTTCACATTTAGGTATTTTGGAAACGAACACAACCTTTGCAGTTGGTGCTCACGTTATGATGTCATCATACTGAGACATTAGCAATTGCTCCACAGCAGCTAAAGCATCCCTGCAGCTACAAGACATCAAACTCGCAGTCCAGTGTTGGGGCTGTGGTTGAAACTGACCACACATCCCACCTATATTGCYTTTTTTATGAACACATTTTGAATGTAGATTTTAATTATTTTTAGCAGTGTTAAAAGCGTGAGCAGAAATTAGCATCAGCTAACCAAAAACATCAACAATGGGCACTGCTAGCCACCTCTAAGATGAAGATGACACTTAATATATAAATTCAAAACGTGTTTGTGGCTGAAAGTAGAAAAAAAAACAGATCATGAAATAAAATTGTTTAAATTCTGACAGCGGTGCCTCTATTTCTAGTAAAGCAACTGCATAAAGATTTCTGGTTCTATCATTTTCTCAAAGCAAATGCAGAAGGGACAGTTGTATAACTAAAGGGGCTCATTCCATATCATGAAGAAATATTTATAAAGTAAGAAATAAAACATAATATGTTTTCCTTTATTGCCGTTGCAGATGAAGTTGTGTCTTATTTTTAATTACTGAGAAATGATGAATTTTCTGTATTTGTTTTAAGATTCACTGCCTCCAAAGTGATGTGAAGTTTAGGAAAAATAAAACGGATTCACTCAAACATACTGTTTTTTTATTTCTAAATGTTGTAAATCTGTGACCTCTTTTTCTTTCACATCAGGTTGATCCAGCGGAGGTGCAGCTGGTACTGTTGCCGCAAAATAACAAATGTGTTTGTCCTGGAAGTCACACATGCCCCCGTTTTATTCTCGAGATGGTGATTTTAAAGCTGCGACCAGACTGAGTCTATATATAAGTTTGCTCTCTTTGAGCTGGAGGATTTACTTTTGGTTTGTCAGCCTCTCAAGCACCATGGAGACAGGGTCATGACCACCCGATTGCATCCCAGYGCCAGTCCTTACAGCGCAAAGTTGCTGGTCAGCTCTCAGCATGAGAGGGCCCGCCGTTACCTTGTCACGGTAGGTTTTTATGAGGTTCACATGAGGGGGACTGCTCGCCCCTCTCATGGGGTCACAGCCCCCTGCCATGTTGGCCTTTGTGCCTGTTTGTGGCAGTGTTAATCCACCAGCTCTTGCTTCCCACTGAGCAACAAGTCTGCGACTTAGTGACTTGGCTGTTTGTTGGGAGGGCTTCAGTCACCGCCGTGGTAATTGGTTCATCCTACTCTCTATCACTCAACCCTCCGAGGTGTTTGATTGGCCAGGCTTGCCAAGGAAGAGAGGAGGAGACAGAGCAAGGGATTATGGGATAAGAAATAGCCCAGGAGAGAAAGGCGGTCTGAGTTCAGTAACTTCCCAGCCAGCTGATGGAAAATCCTGCCGAATTTTTTTATGAAAACAGAAAACTTTCTCTTTGTTCTTACCAGCTCAGTGTGAATTGTTTTCAATTACTTTCATATATTTTGTTTATTCTTTACTTCTCAAAAGTTTGTCTGCTGGATATATTTTCACTTAGTGTTTTCGCTGCATTGCGTAATTGTAGACAAAAGGGTTAAAAATAACGTAAAGATGTTTGGAGATGAACTGATTTTTACCACTAAATGTAACAAACATTTACATAAAGGGGCAATATTATGTGTTTCTGAGGCATACATTTAAATACTATACCATAAAGTATCTATGTCACATTTAGCTGTTATTAAAATGCTGTTTTCATGTTTAAATAGAAAATAAACTTATCTTCTCTTCACTTCCTCTTCTAAACGCCTTGAAATTGGCCTCTGTCTCTTTAAGAACCACCTTCTGCTTCTGTCTCGCCCATTTCGGTGCGGGGAGGGGGGGTGAATCATGATGCAGTTTACTTGGCATCTGAAAATACATTTCCTCAAAGGTATTTTTAATCTGAAAAGAGCTTCACTGAGTGAGAACTAATGTTGAGAGCTCAGCAGACAGTTAGGTTTCACTTTCACCCGAGAGCCTGCAGGAGTCATGGGCGTGGGGTGGGGGTGGGGGGGGTGCTCTGCCACGAGGAAGTTCAGCTTAAAAGACACGTCCCAGGGGCGTTCCTGGTCCCAAAAGGCGTTTCTGGTCCCCACCTGTCGTTTTGCTCCTCAGCATGGCTTCCTAAAAACGCTGCAGGATTTCTCAAACATGCATGAATGTGTCGAAGCAAGGCTTTGGGGATGTTTTTATGTGAGTAAAACATTACAACATGATATAAAACTCAAAAAAGTTGATTTTACATGATATTGYCCCTTTAAAGTCCAGCTTAAACACATTGTTTTGATCAAGTTTAACTTTTAGAGCCGGGTGAAGTTTTATTTAGCTACTGCTCGATGCACATAAACTCAAGTATTTCTTAGTTAAGTCCAACAAGCATAGGGAGACAGAAGGATGAAAAAAAAAAAGAAAACATGTCTTAAATCACCTGCTCCGTGACAGTCAGAGTACTCGGTATCTGCAGCCTAGCTTTAAATCTGCCAGCCAGAGCTAAGCAGGAGAAGAAAAATCTCTTTGTCGTCCCGCGGAGACGTTTGCTTTACTTTCAGAGGCTCTCGAGCTCCTTTATAACTGATAAGAGGACCGCATTCCTGTTGAGGCAGCAGGCCGGCCCTGCCACTGACCCCACCTGACACTGTCCAGCCACGAGAGGCTCCACTGCCCCGCAACCCAGCAGAGACTCCTCTGCTGCTCCTCTTATCTCGCTCCACATCTCCCTCTGGCAAACACTCACCCGCACTGAGGAGTGCAGAGATAGGGAGCAGCCGGCCCGGGTGTTCTGGGACTCGACTCCACGCAGGCCTCCTGATAACTGCATTTTTGGTTGTTCTTTTGAGTAATGTTAGGCACTTTGTCTGGATTAGATTTTGTGTGAATATGAAAAGAGCTGCATGAATGACATCTGGAACTTTTGCTTCTATTTTGCTTGGCTGTACAGTAGCTAGTTAACATGTATTCAGTTTTTCTTTTCTTTTTTTAAGAAAATGGCTGAATGCAAATGCTATTTTGTTTGTTTGTTTTGTAAAAAACAAACTGTTGCATCATTTTTGTAGTTTTCACTTATTCAGTGAATACATGTCTATAATAACCAGAATGACTGTATATTTCTAATCTACTTTGTTAATAAACTCCCTTGT